TTTCGACAAGGTTTTGTCATCATCAGGTACATTTGCTGTCATGTTAAACTTATATTAAAGTTTTTCTTCATTACCCATTTAAGCCGTCTCCAGCCATTATTAGTCTCAAAGTGGGTTCCTCGTCATCGAATTACTCGTATTTAGTTTTGCGTGAAAATTCTAAATAAAACAACTGTCGTAATAATAGCCTGGTCTCGGCATGGTGTAGACTGCAATATGGTGGAAAGTGTCTTCTATTCCTGGAGAAGTATAGTATGGTTTTGATTTACAGATGTCAGCAGAGGATTTTGGTGGGTAATGCAGTGTTTTACTGTATCAAAATGAGTCTCAGAATGAAGTAATATCTACTGCTTATATTCATCAAAGAAGATAACTGAATTCATAACTTAGTTCTCTTATCGAATTAGAATCATACAGTCATCTTGGAAGGGTCTGTTCATCGGAATACATATGGTTGGATCAAAATTCAGTTGGTTGACCTTCTAAAAAAATTAAGGACTTAACCCCTGCCATGAAAACCTCTCACGTACAGTTACACCGCCTTCAACAGCTTGTATTACTAGAGCAACACAAGTATGGTTAAGTACTTATGGTTTTCTCCATATAGAACAGATTGGAATAAAACTCATGAGACAGCATAACATGTTCCCAGTCATTCCCTGTTCATAGTTAACACTAAAAGCATTGCTGCAATAAAGGTTATCCGATAAACCCAGAAATTGTTAGCTAAAAACTGCTGCTGTGCATTGTCCATTTAATTTGCTGAAAATTCTTATAAGCTTAAATAATAATTTTGAGGCACTGGATTTAACGTTCGCAGACTAGACAAACGATTTTTTTTTGGGGGGGGGACTGGTTAGTGGCTGATACATGTGTTTTTGAAACGTTCTTTTGTCTCTATGGTTGGAAATTATCGAGTCCTCATCATTCAGTTGTTCGGACATATTTTGACATTTGTTAAACTTTACAGTCGTATGTTCCTCAGTCAGTTAATCACCATTGTGGTTGACGGCTAGTTTTACCTAATGGCAAACGTATTCTTTTTCAGTTACTACAGGTTTTAGACCCTGGTGACAAATATCTGAACAGTTGGCCAGAAAATTGTATTTGATATTGACTCTTCTGGTAGACTATTTTGACCTTTGAAAGAAGTCTGCGTTTTTATCGGCAGTTTTGCAAACTAGCCATGACATGACTTGATCTCTGCATTACAAGATTAAAACAATCATCCTATTCCAAAAATCGAGTAATCGAAATTAAGATTACATAAGACTGTCACGAAAATAACGAACTAATTGAAATATTGCCATTATGTTTATGTTTTTAAGTACAAAGCTGTATATTGGGCTATCTGTGCTCTACCTAATTTCCATTTTTTGCTTCTTTAACTCCCGATTAGAGGGAAGGCAACTGGCTGACAGCACCCACCGCTAACCGTCAATGTACTATGGTTTGAGGAACATTGTACTAATCGGTTAATCGACTAGTAAATACCACTACTGGTCTAACTCAAATGTTGACTATGGAGGAAGGGAGGGGTGCTTAATAAAGTGGCCATTCAGTGTAGGGTATGTTGCTGTCGTATGTGGTTAGGATATGTCAGATAATGCTACAATGAAAATTAAAGCCGTAGGCCTTTAAAATTCTACATTTGTTTTTATATGCTCTGTATATCATAGATTGAACATACTCTCAGTATTATCAAAATCTGCTTAGCTAAAGCAAGATATGAGAGGAGGGAGGGCAAATTACAACATTGATTAGCTGTATTTGTTGTGTTTGTAGTGTTTATAATGTGGTTGTTAATTTATCTTCAGATAATTCCTAAAATCTGAAATGAATTTTGGAACGGTGTTTTAATTGAATAGTGTTTTTTGTATTTTTTTGTATGTGTGACTGTTAATTTCAACGAGTATTTATTTCCATAGGACTCAGTTAAAGTTGGAAACGTTAGACGACGCTGTCGTCCTGGACGAAGGCTCATCTGATCACCTCAGTGACAAACATGGTTGCCCCGCCTATGTAAGCCCAGAAATACTAACTACCAGCGGGAGCTATTCTGGTAGAGCCGCCGACTGCTGGAGTCTGGGTGTTATGCTTTATACTTTGCTTGTTGGTCGATACCCATTTCACGACAGTGATCACAGCGCACTCTTTGGGAAGATTTGTCGAGGCAAATTCACCATTCCTGACACCATATCATCTCGAGCTAAATGTCTTATCCGAAGTCTGCTGAGGAAAGATCCAGCAGAACGACTTGCAGTTGACGATGTCCTTCACCATCCATGGTTCCGACTAATGTCGCGAGGGGGCGCTAGTTGTCTGGATTTACAGCTTCACATTTCCAACGGCAATGATTCCAAGACACTGGATCAAACTGTACCAGATTTAGCTGTTCCAGAAAGTAATATTTGATCATTTATCTAAAAGCTAGTTTTTATAGAAATGTTAGTACTACCTATGACTTTCATTATACACCACCCATTTTTGCACCTCCTTCCTAATTTTTAATGTGAAGAGTTTATTGGTGTACATGTTAGCTGTTTCATAATGTATTAAGTGTAAAAAAAACATTAAGTTTTAAATAACATATTTCAACATAGGCTTGTAAGAGTGATCATTCAAACTCTTATTTTCAAACTCGGAGAACTTTTGACCAGCCCAAGGGACGTTTTTGTTTCTCAACATTATCGAAAAGCATGAAAAATTCGAGGGAAAAAATGTTTTTTGTTTTAATTCAGAAATAACAGAAAGAAAGAGGGATTACGCATGATTTTGAAAAATTGGTTATGTTACTGAAATTATTTCTGGACTAAACAGTTTTACTTGTGATGGATATAAAAAAAATATTTTATGACATCGGTAAGCCTATTTATGAGAAAAATGAAAACTTAATGCTCGTCCTAATGATTCGTAAAAAAGAGCAAGTTAATGCTAGAATTAAGTGTAACGTAGTTGGTACTTAACGGTTCAACTCACCCACCGCTGTCGTTTAGCGATAAGTGTGAAGGCTTACAAGGCTATAATTCTGGTTTGAACCCTGCTGTGGGCACAGCACACAGACCATTGCGCTCAGCAACAAATAAACAAATTGGTACCAAAGGTGTAAGTTAACAGAAGTACAGTTAGAGTGAAGTTGAACAATATAATCGAAGATTACAATTTGGACGCAACTTATGGTGTCTGTATACGAGATTTTTTGTTTTCATAATATGGCGGTTTTTATATTGGAGACACTAGAAATGTCATTAACCGGCCGTGTCAAGAAAAACTAGTAGTTGTCTTAAAAATATTGGCAAGAATTTCTAATTTTCCAGGAGCTTAAGGTTGAATGACATACTTTTGTTTCGATAAAGAATATATTTCAATGTTCTGCTCCTTACAATCAGTACAAACATACTTCTGATTGTTTGTGTGTATATTTTGTAAATGTAACGTAATCTCTTTTTACAGTAGTTAAGGATGTTTTTGGAAATTTTTTTTTGTCTAAATTAACTTGGAATATTCCAAGATTTATAAGCTTATTCAACGTTACTTGAAGTGAACACTATTAGGTGTATTACTTAAAATAAGTTGTTTTTTTCTCTGTTAGAAATAGAGGAAACAGAACAACATTGTGTAAGTTTGGCATTATTTTCTATCATTATTTAACTATTGAGTGACATAAGTGAAAATTCTAATATAAGCGATAATAATATTGCATTTTTATTATTGAAAATACTTTTTAAGTGATATATATATAGAAAGATACGTGCACTTCCCTCAAAAAATAGTTACCACAGTACGCTTAACAGTAGTTTAAAGTTAACTGATATATCCTGGTTAGATTCTAGTTTTGTAGAATATACTTTAAATATTGAATAAAGAGTACTGGGAAATAAGAGAACCAACTTGTCTAGCAGTTTTACAACAGATGGATTAGAGTCATATTTAACAACTCATTATTTACTAGCGCCAGTAAGTTTGTATTTTATTAGACTATGAAAAGGACTTAAATTATTGGTACCCATTGCTTGTGCACATGTCAGAATCAATTTAGTGTATCACAAATGAAGCACCTGTTTGTGTCAAGAAACGTCTCGATAAATATCACTGCTAGTGTATGACCTTCAAATGATATATACATCTCGAATTAGGTGCCAGTTTATTTCACTGTAAAGTGGTGATTTTTAAGACGTCATTTTTCTCTCTTTTTCTTTTTTCTTTTTTTTTCATATCAGAATATGATCTTAATGTTTTTAAAAGTGGTAACGTTGCATGCCGCGCCATCTGTAGAATATTGTGAATACAACAAGATAGTACAAGTTTTTGTTTGAAATAAATCTAAACGAATACTCCAGAAAACCATTTGGGAGTTTGTTAAAGATTTTTAGATTCATAAAAATGATCGTTCCTTTATTATTATTTTTTTAAATAACTTTTTTTTTCCAGTTTACTTTCAGATATTGACACAGAATTCCGAAAGGGTGCAATGGGTTTCGGTTAATAACTCGCATTATTTCAATAGGCACCTGGACTTCTGTTGCCACATGTAACCTGTTAATTTCCAGAGTTTATTTACATGATTGGCTTACTTTTTAACGTCATTTTTTATGTATGGCGGTATGCAAAAGAAAGGAAACAAACTGAAGACATCTTATATTTTGATTTGTTTTCAAACTTCCCCTGCTTCTCGTTTATAGTTAAAACATAATTTTTTAACATAATGTTGGATGTACTCGAGTAGTTAATAATATATGTCAACAGGTAACGTCATAAGATAACGTGGAAAAAAACGTTGTTTGTTTATGAGCTCTTATGTATATTTAATGTTTTAGAATTAAACTTAAAAAGTAAATGTTATGTAAAGTAGTAGGTAAGTATACCTGTTACTGTGGAAATGTTCACGTGTTTCTCTTCCTCTTCTTATAGTAAAAAAATTGAACTTAAACGTTTGTGGTTGACGGTGGTTAAAATAAATTTAGATAGCTTTAAGTATCTGTGTTATATATATTTGTCCATTTTTTGTTAGTTCATTGCCTTTGGGAAAACTCGGCGTACCCCTCGCATTAAAAAAAAGCTATTTGTATATGTGCCGTTTTGTTGAAATTAACGAACATGGATGGAAAAAACTTTAAAAAAATGCATGTCTGGGTCACGTAAATTTGGTGGACAATGGAAAAAAAATAAACAAAATAAAATTATAGTTTACAGACCAAGTTGTTGCTTTTTAGTTGTTGTTGTTTTATAACAATATAGCGCGAAATTATTATTATTTTATTATATTAGTTATACGTAACACTTGGATTAACGTCAATGTAAATACGTAAAATAACCTAAAACGTGATATTTTAGTTATATAATTTCTTACCTAAAGTATTCAAATAGTGATAATGTAAGAACAACTTATAACGAGAGTTGATATGATGTTAAAGATACGTTTATTTTAGCTGATGCATGAACTTTGGCGTTAAATATACATTTTTACTAGAGTGAAATCCGTTAAGTTTTGAAAATAAAAACACTTGGGTCATATTTCAAGCGTAAAGGTATTACGTAGTCACGTTTTTCGCGTTGATAATTTTCTACATTGAAATGCGAAAAAATTAAACATTCCGATAAAGTTTAATACAGTTTTTAATGTTTTAAACAATTCGTGAATATTTCACGTATTTAAGTTGTATTAAGTTTGGAAACAGAACAAACGAAATAAATTAAACGTTATACAACTGAATTTAAACAAAAGTTCTGATTTAAATACATTTCATGTAACCCAAATAGAGACTTTTGAATAAAAACAAACATTTTTCAGTGTATTCAAATATTCGTTTGGGAAAACTACCAATTGTGAGATGTAGGTTTATCGAGCTTGTTGGCATGTTGAACTCCTTAGAAAAACTTTTAGATAGAGAGTTTAATTTACTGTGATATTTTTTTGATAGGTATTAGCCCAAATAATTTTATTATTAGACTACTAAGTGAGGATTAACTGTATTTTTATAAAGTTGGTTTGATGATTAGGGTACAAGACTCACGTTATGCAGGTTCGAATCCCGTCACCGAAAATGCTCTCCCTTTCAGCTGTGGGGGCGTTATAACGCGACGGCCAATCCCACTGTTCCTTGATAACAAGAGTAGCCCATGAATTTATAGTGGGTGATGTTGACTAAATGCCTTTCTTGTAGTCTATCACTTTAAAATTATATATTGCTATCGCAAATAGCCCTCGAGAAGTTTTTCGCGAAGTTAAAAAACAAAAATTTTACAACACTTTCGGAGGGAGGAAGAGGTAGACATTGATCCTGGCCCTTCCAAATCTATAAACCTAAATCCCGATCCAGTGAAGAAGAAGCTTTTGGAATTGTTTATATGCTGTCAGGTTTTTATGTATGGATGGGCAGGATTCTTTACAGTAGGTGTCTGTGACTTGTTGGCGATAAATTTCAACAATAAACAAACAGCGCACA